CACACACACACACACACACACACACACACACACACAATAAAAGTACACATTGAGTCTGAGAAAGGTAGCACCTGGCCATCGTGGGAACTCACCGTGCCGTGCCAAGGCGTCAGATATTGTCTATGCTGTCCACCTCTCCTGGAGAAGCCTTTGAGAAGTTCCCGATGCTGCGTCCTGAGAATTACTTGGCTATGCTGGGATCTTGTAGTTGACAGGTCCTGCTCGTTTCCCAGCCAGCTTTGCCATATGCTATGTCCTATATCATTACCAGGCCCATCTCTTCAGCCCTTTTTATTTTTTCACTTTAAGACTGTGTCTTGCTAACTTGCCCAGTTTGTGCATGAATTTCAATCCTCCTGCCTCAGCCTCCCAGACTGTTGGTATTGCAGGCATGTTCCACCATGGCTAGCTTTAAGTAAAGTTTTGTTTGTTTGTTTAACAGCAACACCATCATTAACAACACTACTTTCGTTCCTTGTTTTTATGTATGACTATAGTTTTCATATACATATTATCTGTTTTTACTTTTTCTTAATACAAGAGACTGAACTTTGGCCTCTTCAGCCCCTTTTATTTACTTAGTGTGTGTGTGTGTGTGTGTGTGTGTGTGTGTGTGTGTCTGTGGTACTGGGGATTGACTATAAGACTTTCACATTAGACTATACCCCCAGATATTTTACATTTTTATTTTGAGGCAATGCTCCCTAAACTGCCCAGGCTGGGCTCCAGTTTGAGATGTTCCTGCCTCAGCCTCAGAGTGCTGGCTGGGATTACACACCTCCACCACTGCACCTAGCTCCCAAGATATCCTTTTCATTTTGATTTTTATGATAGCTTACTGTATGGCTTTTTTTTTTTTTTTTTTTTTTTGGTCTTTTTTGAGACGGGGTCTCGCTATGCAGTTCAGGCTGGCCTTGAGCTTACTTTGTAGCCCAGGCTGGTCTTGAACTCCCAAGGATCCTCCTACCTCAGCCTCCCCAGTGCTGAGATTACAGGCCTGAGCCACCACGCCTGGCTTACTGTATGGCTTTGATCTAGATGTGCCCTCAAAGCCTCATGTCTCAGGGGTGGGCTTTTCGGAAGTGGTTAGATCTCGGGTGTGTGAATATGCATAAAGGGTGTGATAACTAAGTTATCAGTGCACTGATTCTTTTAACATTGTTCTGGGTGTAGGTAAAGGGAAGAGCCATGCTAGGTGTACGTGGCACCAACCCATAGCTTTGTAACCAGGATAGAGTAAAAGGGGAAAGGAGGCTTTCTGCTGCTGCTTGCTGCTTCCTGGCCTGCCCTGAGCTGTTTCTTTTCTGCAAGGCCCCCTATCATGCTTTCTTGCCTTGGAGCCAATACAAAGTGAAAATTCTACAAACTGTGAGCTAAAATAAACCTCTCCTGCTTTAACTTGTGGGTGTTGTGTATTGTGTCTCAGCAACAAGAAAAGTAACTAAATGCCTGTGATGCTGGCTTTATGAATGAAAAATCTGAAGCTTACCTTGCCCAAGGTCACGCAGCTTCTAGATGGTGAAGCTGAGAACCATGTAGTCTTATTTTCTTATACTTTATCTCTCTTCTCTGGCCCAGCACCACATCTGGACATCTTGAAGTAGCAACAGCAAATACTGACCTGGGCTCCCTGCCTGGCAGCCAGGAGGGCAAAAGACTGTTCTGAAACTTACCCTGAGCTTGAAAGGCTGGGGCAGGATAGGGGTTGGTATCAGAGTGGGGATCCTGGTCCAATGCTCCTCCCTAGAGTATAAGTGCCATTTTATCAAGTCCATGACATTCTGTTGAGACTGCACCACAGAATGTCATCAGTGACACCCTCCTGTTAGCAGCAAACATCCCATGCATCTTGGAGGCCAACACAGAGGCTCTGGTCTATCACCATATTTCCCAGCACTTATGTGCAAACCACTCAATGTAGTTCACTTCACTAATCTGCATAGATGGTTCATAAACTTAGTTACTGGCAAGGTCAAGTCCAATCATCACTTCATCTCCATACATGTTTGCTTGACACTTCCTATTCTGGATGCCAACAGACAGGTAGGCGGCTCATGGTGGTGCAGAGGCAGAGGCTGGGGACCCAGGCCTGCTGGGAGGCCCTGCCGTGTTGGACTGTGGAAACCCAATTGAGAATTGTGCCTTTGGGAATCTCTGGCTACGTTCAAAGTCTACAGAGCAGTGATTTGGAGTCCATACTGTCCCATTCTCAGCCAATCTCATGGGTCATGTCCTATTCTCTTGGCATTTCATTATCATCCAAGAGCCAGCCCAGCCAGGACAGAGGAGACCTCAGCTGGACAGTGCCGGAACGTAGCCAGAGCACAAGCATTTACTAAATGCCTACTATGTATGAGGGACTGATCAGCCTCCTGGAGACCTGTAGGGGGAAAGGTGGAGAATACCTGGCTCTCGTGGACGGGCTTGACAATCTCTGAGGTTGACCCATTTTTACTAGCAAGTGAGCAGCACAAGGCAAGGGGCAGGGTACGCTTCAGCAGCTGCAGTAAATAGGGAACAAGTCAGTGAAGAACAATCAGGATGCCTGCACTCTACACCATCCCCAGCAAACGTTGTCTTGCCCGTGTCACAGTTACAAGCTTTCTCTGTACAGCCAGGAAATACTTCTCTGTTCCGAAAGCAGGTCACAAAGGCCTTGGAGCCACAGGACCCCAGTCATGTAGCTTGGTCCCCAACAACTATGCGTTCTGGGTGAGATAAACAAGATAAACATGAGCTGACCATGGTGGCACTTGGGAGACTGAGGCAGGAGGATTGCTGTGAGTTTGAGGCCAGCCTGGGTTACATAGGAAGATGTTGTCCCCAAAAAATGAAGGTGCGATCAGCTTTGATGAAGCAGCAGCTGAAGAAAGCACAAGGCTTCTCTCCCATCACACATTACAGTGAGACCCTGGCTCAAAAACAAAATAACACCAGGCAAACATGGCAGGGGTAGGGCAGAGCCAACCTTCCAGCTTTCCAGGAGAGACCAGCAGCAACAGGCTGCTTGCGTAAGAGTGTAGGGAATTTAAAAAAGAGTGTAGGGAGTGAGCTACTGCCCCAAGCCAAAGCCAGGTCAGCACAGCATGGGTGACCCGGAGGAATGAGGGCTGCCCTGACAGGGTACAGGATCCCAGCTGCAGACCAGCCTGGCGTGGAGCGACATAGCGAAGTTAGTTTCCCCGTCTTACCCTCCTGCTTCAGCCTCCCTAGCAGTTTATCACCACACCTGGCAACAGGGAGTTTTTTGACACAACCAGAACTTCTGAGCTGCACTGCCAGAAAAGAAGTTACCAAGTAAATTCAGCCCAATTTTTCAAAAAATTCCCTTGCAGCAGACAGCACACAAATAATAGCGTTCAGTAATGTGCTCAGTGCCCATCTGACTATTATCCACATTAATTTTGGTGTTGAGTACTGAACCTTAGGCTGTGTGTGCTAGCCACATTCTCCACCACCTCTAGGCAGCTGTATTATTACTATCATTATTATTATTAAATCATGTTGAACTCTAAGTCAAATCAGTACTCAACCTGTCCCTTCTCTTTGTCCTCTATCTATTCCAGCCTTAGAGATATGTTTAGGTAAATATCTATTTCTTACATAAACTTTTTTTTTTTTTTTTTTTTTTTTTTTTGGTATCGGGGATCGAACTTGCGACCTCACGCTTGCCAGGTTTACATGAACTTTTATTTATTTATTTGCTTCCTTTTTGGCTTTTGGAGACAGGGTCTCACCATGTAGTTTTCAGGCTGGCCTTGAACTATGTAGCTCAGGCTAGCCTCAAACTCAGAGCGATTCTCTTGCCTCTGCCTCCTAGGGCTGGGACCACTGTTACCATGCCAGGGCCGGCTATATAATCTTTGAAGACAAAAACTATTTTACTCCTTGAATCAGAGTTTACTTCACAAGCTGCGGGAACACAGGAAATTTTCTTTAAGGATCATTTTAGATCACCAAGCCAGGGAGGTGACAGCTGTAGCACAGCTTTGAAGCTCTTTGGCCCATGGCACAGCTAAATGGAAAAGACTATTTCTGACCTTCAGTTCTCAGCAGTGACAAATGTCAAAGGCAGAGAGCTCTTCCCTCCTCCCCTCATTCCACTCTCCTATCAGAGTCCCTGCCTTCCACACTGCAGCTTGGGTTGAAGATAAGTGGGTGTTTGAGCTGTGATGGGCAGCACTGAAAGCTGCCAGCCCAAAATACCTTCCCTGGCCAGTGGTTCACAGAGTGCACTGCACTGAGGCCCAAAGTGTTTTTTCCCCTGGGTTCTGCTGTGGCTGGGGTTGTGTGTACCACGAGCCTTTGTAAACCGTACACTGGAGGCGGCTTGAGCCCGGGTCTTCTCAAGCTCTTTAGGGTCCAGTGACTGGAATGGAAGAGGTAAAAGGAAAGGCACCAACTGAGGGCTGTGGGTGACTCTGACCCTTGGCCACATTTTCTGATTTACTTCGTTTTTGTTTTTGTTTTTTTGACTCATTCTTTGGAGATGGGTAGTGGTGGAAGTAGAACCCTCATGCTAGGTAAACTATATCCCACCCCCAGGCTATCAGTATTTTTAAACTGAATTATTTAATAACTTCCCTTCAAAACTAAAAACACAAAGCCTCTCAGCTTGAATGGAAAGTGGAGGGAGCAGGCAGGCACCTGGGGCTCATCTGCCTGCTCTGCAGCAGCCTAGTTCAAATGTTTCTTGTAACTCTACAAAGTATGAGAAAATAAAGATGATACCTAGTAGCATAAGTAGTTCTTGTCCTAAAAGAATTTACCATTTAACAGAAAACAATAGGCAAAGTAACTTTCAAATAAGGATACAGGTTTTTTTTGGTTTTTTTTCCCTGTACTGGGGCCTTTTCATGAGCTCTTTTCATAATTTTCTTTGTGACACAGTCTTTTTAAACCTATAAATTGCCCAGGTTGGGTTTGAATTTGTAAATCTTCTGCCTCAGTCTCCCAGAGTGCTAAAATTATAATGTGTGCCACCACGCCCACTTTTTATTTTTAACCTGGAATGTTTCACCAATTTACAAGTGATCCTTGGGCAGGGCCCACACCAGTCTTCTCAGTATTGTTCTAATCTTAGAATATGTGCTGTCGAAGTGAGCACCAACTCTTGAATTTTAAGTCGTTTGTTGCCAGATGTGAAGATACACACCTGCAATCCTAGCATTCAGGAGGCTGAGGCAGGAGGATTGCAGGGAGTTCAAGGTCAGCCTGAGCTACATAGTGTGTTCAAAGAGTGAGACCTTGCCTCAACTTCCACAAAAAACAACAAAACAAACAAGCAAAAAGTTATTTTCATCTCTTCCTAACCCTGTACTCTTTCCCAGAACAGTTCTCCAGACAAATGAAGAGACGTCCATCTCCAAGCCCACTATGCAATCAAATCAGCCCCATTCTGCAGGTGAGAGCTGCAGCGCAGAAGCTGCGCTACTCAGAGACCACAGAGCTGGCAGGCGCAGAGCTAAGACTCACATCCCATTACCCTGATGCATAAATCAGCACTTATTCCTTTCGCTGTGCTCCAGAAGACACTGAGACTCATAGAAGTCCCTAGCAATCGGAACCACATAGTGCGTGGGACAGTGGCACATGCCTGTCATTCCTGCACTCCTGGAGGCTGAGGCAGGATGCCCAAGTTCCAGTACGGATAGAGCAATTTAGGCACTGTCTAAATAAATACTTAAACCAGCCATGGTGGCGCACGCCTGCAATTCCAGCACTCGGGAGGCTGAGACAGGAGTTCGAGACCAGAATGGCCTACAAAGTAAGCTAAAGGCCAGCCTGACCTGCATAGTGAGACTCTATCTCAAAAAAACAAAAATAAAAAATAAACAAAATACATGCATAAAAAGCTCTGGAGATGTAGCTCACTGGTTTAACTCCCTGTGCTGCACCGAAGAAAAAACCAGAACAACAAACTACATGGTTCCCTGCGGTCCGAGAGAGAGAGAGATGACGGGAGGAGAGGGTCTTGGGACAGATCTGTGGCGGCTAAGCGCCATCCGTCCCGAGTACAAAGCCAGCCGGGGCCGCCTGGACTTCTTCCGCTCCGGCCGTCGGGGGGCGCCCACAGCTCGGTGGGTGGCCGGGCGCGCGCGCCGCGGGATCACGGTCCCCACCCTGCGGCCAGGGCCCGGGATGGGCGTGGCCTGGCGGGCATGGGCGTGGCCTGGCAGTAGAGGGCGGGGCCGGGGTCCCAGCTCGCTCGGGGTCGAAGTGGCGACCGCAACCGCGAGAGAGAGCGGAGCGCCGGGCCGCCGGGGGCGCGCGGAACAGGTACAGCCCCCGCCCCGCCCTGGCCCCTACCCCGAGCCCGACCCGGACCGGACCGGCTGCGCCGCCTCCGCTCCCCAGGCTGCCGGTCGCCCCCGCCGCCACCCCAGCCCCAGCGCGGGCGTCCCCGGGGTCGAGTTCCCGGGATTCCTGGGATCCTGGCTCCATCATCCGGATGGTCGGGGGACTGAGGCGAGACCCGCCTGAGGCACACAGCGAAGCTGGAAAGCGCGCTCGGACCTTGCCGCCGAGCGGCGCCTCTGCCCTGCCTCTCTCCGGGTGCTGCGAGGATGCTTCCGACCTCCCTGACCCTGCAGCGAGGGGCAGGGCGCTGGCAGGCTGAGACTGACACCACAGGCGCCTCTAAGGTGGTGTCCTCAGCCACCCGTAGAGGGCACCGTGAGGATCACAGAGTTCTGCCACAGGGACTCGCCCACCCCATCCAGCCCGTAGGCCCAGCAGTGACCGGCCCCAGGGGCGGGGTCACCAGGTCACCTCTGTACAGGTCCCTCACCTGGACCTTCACTGGCCACTGAGGGAAACTGTGGCCAGGACAAACTCAGGTTTGTTCTGACCAGGGTCCAGCCTGTCACCAGGGTGACCGCTTGTGACCTCAACTTTCCTTATCCTGAGCAGCAGCAGTAGAACCTAGATGAAGGACAGGGAGAAGGGAGAAAAGCACAGATATGTATCTGTTTCTGTAAAGGAGGGGCATCAGCCCCTGCCCAGCTGTGCACGGGAGGGTGGGGTAGGACTTTTCCAGAAAGAGAGCCAGGCCTGGCCCGGGCCCCAGGAGCTCACGTCACCCCCCACCCTTCACTTCTCCAGGGAGCTGCCAAAGCCAAAGCCAGCTGAGGACAGGATTATGTGTTCTGGAGTGGACCACAGAGAGGGGCAGCAAGGGTCAAGGGTCGCAGGGCTTGGGGTGCAGGGCGTGGAGGGGTGTAGGGAGTGGAGGAGACAAGGATCAGAGAAGGGCAGGCAGGGACCATCACCAGCTCACCTTCTCTCCAGCCTCAAGGAACAGGCAAAGGGCTGAAGCCGAAGGGCTGCAGTGGGAAGTGGGTCCTTCTCCAGGTCGCAGCACCTCCTCCTATTAGGACTGAGCAGCTGAACTTGGCTGCCCAGGCAGGGAAAAAAGAGACCACCTGACCCCAGGCAGCTGAGGCCACCACGCTGCCACCATACTCAGCCACTTTGATTCCTCCCTCAAATTACCACGGCCTGGGATCTCAGGGAGAGAGTGACTGGGTATTGCTACCCCCAAGCACATTCCTAGCCTTCCTGCTATCATTTCCTTGCTCTTGAGCTGGTCCAACAGCTCCTTGGATTCTTCTCCTGGTGCCTTTCTGATCCAACAGAAACAGTTTTGTTTTGTTTTTTTTCCTGGAAAACAGAACTAAGGCAGGATAGTGGTGGTGGGAATGGCTCAAAATGAGACCAAAGGGGCTAGAGGACATGGAGTTAGAGAGCCCAGCTCTGGGGCCAGGGGAGGGCTCCAAAGCCCCTTCAAAGCTGGAAGGTTGACTCCCGACATTCCCGAAAGAGAAGTCTGTGACTGTGGAGTCAGGGCAGCTCTGGCTTCCTCTCTCCTTCCCTCATTTCTCCAACCCTTACAGCTGTGCACCAACAGAAAAAAAGAAATTTTTAAAAAGAAGAAAAATAGTGTGTTGGTACAGTATTTGGGAAGCTGAGACAGGAGGATGGTGAGTTCAAGACCAGCCTGGAATACACAGTGAAATGCTGTCTCAAATATAAGTAAATAAAAAGAAGAAAAATAGCTGGGCCTGTAAATTCTAACTCTTCTAGAGGCTAAAGCATGAAGATCACAAGTTCAAGGCTAGCCTGAGCAAGTTGGTGAGACTTTATCTAAAAATAAAAAAGGGGGTTGTTTGGTGCTAGAGAGCACTTACCTAGCATGCATGAAGCCCTGAGTTCAATCCTCACTACCACAATAAATAAATAAATAGAGATGAAAACTAGGTGCACATAAAGTAGACCCCAAGCCTGGCATGATCATGCAGATCTATAATCCTGTAACTCTGGGAGGTTGAGGCAGAAGGATCACAAATTTCAGCAGGACCCTGTCTCAAAAAATAAAAAGTCTAGGGATGTATATAGCTTAGTGCAAAGGCCTTGGCTGCTTCTGCTTCTGCTTCTTTCTTCTGCTTCTTCTGCTCTCTCTCTCTCTCTCCCTCTCTCTCAGGGTTTGCTATGCAGTTCAGGCTGACCTTGAGCTCATGTGGCCCAGGATGGCTTCGAACTCCCAGCCATCCTCCTGCCTCAGCCTCCTGAGTGTTGGGATTACTGGCATGTGCCACCAGGCCTGCGTAAAGGCCCTGGTTTCACTCCCCAGTCAGAAGAAAGAAAGGAAGGGGAAACAGAAAGAGAAAAAGAAAAGGGAGAAAGGGAGGGGTGGAAGAAGGGAAGAGAAAGAGGCTCCCATTGAGCCAGTGCCAGATGGCTGCTGGCATTCAAGGGGAGGTTAAATCACCTGCTGTTTCTCTATAGACTAAGCCATTAACTCACTCAAGTGTGCCTTAGTATGAGGCAGGCCAGGAGGTACCGACCCTTCCTCTGGAAGGAAGGAAAAGGCTAGTGCAGGTAGGAAACACAGCGGCAGGAAAGGTCTTGTTTCCAGGGCTTCCACTGGGCTGGAGGGCGTCTGCCTGTCCTCACCTGAGCCTCTCTCTTCAACCTTCCAGGGAGCTCTGGGGGCGGAGTGGGAGTCAGATGGAACCCTAGAACTGGTCTAACCTGGCCAGCACAGCCTGCCTAGAATCGAGGGTGGAGCTGAGTCCCTGCAGCACGAAGGGGAGGGGACCGAGTTGGGAGCCTGGATGCTGAGGTCAGTCTCCCACCCTGCAGCGTTCCTCCCGCTCCCCCTGAGGACCCTAAAGGGTTGTGTCAAACTCCCCCACCTTCTGTCCAGCTGGGTCTGTCTGAGGAGTCACCCTGCCCGACTGGCCTCTAGAGTTCCTGAGAGGTGACCACTGGGCTTCTGCCCCTGCTGTGCGCACCCCTCCGCCCCCAGATGCCTGAGTAGCTTCTTCCAGGCACAGCGATGGAGCAGTGGGCAGGCAGGTGAGAGGAGGGGTGCCTGGTGGCCACATTGCCGGCCCTGGAAGTCTAGGGGGCATGACCGGGAGGGACTGGGCAGGGGACAAGGCCCTGCTGCCTGCTGAGAAACCAGGATGTGGGGAACTTGTGGGTGGGGGTCACATCACCTCCAGCATGGTCTGCCTCCCTCCTTTGACTCGCAGGCCTTGGCTGTGTCTGATGCTGCTTCTGTCTCTCCCTCTGCTCTGCCTGGACCAGGAGGTGAGCTTTGGGCAAGGGAACCACTGCTGCCCCTGCCTTGATCCCTTCAGCTTCCTGACCCCTCCGTCAGCTCTCCAGTCCAGTCTCCTTGTCCCACAGGCTCTGCCCTTCTCTGCCGGCCCCCTAACTCCTGGGGAAATCACGTGAAAAATGCCAAGTTCTAGAGTTCTAAGTCTCTGCTGCTCCTGAGCATGACTCGGCCAGAGTCCTGGGCTACTTGGCTGCCCTGCACCATCCCCTCAATCCCTGTTTCTGTCTGACCTTTCTTTCTGTGTAGGTCTTGTCTGGACATACTCTTCAGACATCCCTGGAGGAGGCCCGGGTGCCTGAGGGGGTCTGGGGACCTTGGGACCAGTGGACCACTTGCTCCCAGCCCTGTGGAGTAGGGGTGCAGCGCAGAAGCCGGATGTGTCAATTCCCCCCAGGCCTGGCCCTGCCTCCCAGGCCCCCACGACACCCAGAAGCCCTGATGCCCCAGGGTCAGGGCCGCAGACCTCAGACAACTGGAGAAACCTGGCCTCTCCTCAGGCCACAGGCTCAGGGAAGGGGCAGCCCACTTCGAGGTCCTGCTTCCCAAGTGGGGAGAGTGGAGCCCCAGGAGGCCCGGAGGTGAGGTTCAGGGGAAGGGACAGGGCTGTGGGAGAAAGGAGAACAGAGGATACGAGGGCATGGTGGTGTCAGGGGTTGATTTTTGGTACCAGGAGAAGGGGCAGAGCTATGACCTCATTCATATCTCCAACACCTCAGGTCTGGGGTCCGAGAGCCCATCAAGCCCGGCATGTTTGGTTATGGGAGGGTGCCCTTCGCCTTGCCGCTGCACCGGAGCCGCAGGCAGCCCAGGATCTCGTCTGGACCTGAGCCCTCCCGGGCCTCTGCTACAGCTGACAGGCCCCTTGCTTCCTCTGCAAAGCACAACTCCCAAACTCAGCTCCTATCTCCAGGATCAGCTGCCCCCACCCCATCCTCCCCAGCAGAACCTTCGAGGCCCAAAACTACTGAAACAGGGGTGCCCCCCAGAATCAGCCCTGACCCCACACAGCCCTACCCTGGAGCCCTGGCCTCTGGTGGCACAGGGCCCCCCTCACATCCTTCTTCTTCCAGAGGAAGCAGCTCCGTCCTAGTGTCCCCTCAGCCCAGAATGCCTAACTCTCAACGTCTGGCCAGTCCCCAGGCAACAGGCAGACAGCCGGATCCTTCACCTTATGTCCCTTGGGGCCGAAGCCGGCAGGGCCAGCAGAGCCAGCAGAGCCAGGGGCACTGGCGGCCAAGGGGGAGTCCTCCTGGATCTCCCTCACAGTCTGCCATTCACCACCCAGCTGGGTGGCTGCCTCTGCTGAGGGCTGGGCCCCACCCCAGCTCCCTCTGGAGCCTCTTTACTCCCAGTGACCCTGTTCCAAGATGTCCCGGGGAGAGCGAGCAGCTTCGAGCCTGCATCCAGGGGGTAAGTTTTTGCTGAGCATCCTCCTCCAGTGCAAACTTCCACTCGGCTCCCTGAGGCTAAATTTGGGTCCTCAGCGTATCTGATCTGGACCCCGGGGCCTGATTTCTACTCCTGGCTTCCTTCCCAGCTCTGACTGCTTTGTTTCCCCCACTTTAGTCCTGCCCCCCAGAGCAGCCGGATCCCCGGGCCCTGCAGTGTGCAGCCTTCAACTCCCAAGAGTTCATGGGCCAGCTGTACCACTGGGAGCCCTTCACAGACGGTGAGTGTTTGCCCACACATATGGGGGCCTGGGGCTGGGGATGAGGGACACAAGGACACACCTGCTCCCTCTCAGATTGACAGGGTTTCCGACCCTTCTCACCACGTAGGCCCTTCTTTCTCTGGGTCACACCTGTTTTACCAAGTCACTAGGTCAAAGTAACTTAGGGCTGGAAGGGGAGGAACTTCTGGACAGGCTTCAGCTGTCAGACCTATAGATGGCAGCAGAGGGGTCAGGCCTTGAGAGAGAGGGGTCCAGAAGCACCCTTTGGCTGCCTTCCTCTGGGAAGTGGTGTGTTTGCGACGTGAGAGATCTTGTCCAGTGCTTACAGAAGGGTAGGTTATGCCATGAATCAGGGTGGTACAGTATCCGATCAGTTGTTCTCAAGTAAATGTCCACTTGATTTAGACTTATGTCACCTTGACACTAAAACAAACCCTTGCAAACTCTGTATCCACGTAACTGTAGATGTCAAAAGCTCTCTTGCTGTCTGGGCACAATGGATACTTACCTGTAGTCCTATCTACTAGGAGCCTGAGATAGAAGGGTTATTTGAACCCTTGACTTTGGGGTCAACCAGGGAACTTATGGAAAACTTGTCTAAAAAAAAAAAAAAAAAAAAAAACAACAGAGGCAGGAGCCTAGGCTAAGCAACATTGCGAGCCTCTGTCTCACAATTTTTTTTTTTTTTTAATTGGTACCAGGGATCGAACTCACGACCACAGACTTGTAAGGCAGGTGCTTATGCCGCTGAGCTAAATCCTCAGCCCCATCTGTCTCACAGTTTTAAAATAAGTAAAATTTTAAAAGGGGCTTCCAGCCTGTTCATGATAAAAAAAAGAACCCTATAGAAAATTGGAATAGGGGCTGGGAATTTAGCTCAGCGGCATAAGCTCCTACCTTGCAAGCAGGCAGTTGTGAGTTCGATCCCTGGTACCAATAAAAATGAAAAAGAAAAAAAATTGGAATAAATGGTCTTTATCTCAATCTGATAAAAGCTATCTATGACAAACCAACAGCCAACATTATACTAAATGGACAAAAACTGAAAGCTTTCACTCTAAAATCAGGGAACAAGACAAGGATGTCCTCTGTCTCCACTCTTGTTCAACATAATCCTGGAAACTTTAGCTGGAGCAATTAGGCAAGAAAAAGAAATAAAAGGAATAAAGATAGGAAAGGAAGAAGTTAAACTATCACTATTTGCAGATGTCGTTAGACTGTACATGGAAGATCCCCCAAAAATTTCACCAAAAGACTTGTAGACTTAATAAGCAAATTCAGTAACATGGCTGGTTGCAAAGTCAACACTCAAAAATCAATAGCTACCTTGTACATTGTACACGAATAATAAACTCACTGAGAGAGAAATCAGAGAAACAACATAATAGCATCCAAAGAAATGAAATACTTAGGAATCAATCTAACAAAGAATGTAAAAGATCTCTACATTGAAAACTACAGTACTTTGAAACAGGAGATTGAAGATAATATTAGAAAATGGAGAGATATCCTGTGCTCTTGGGCGGGAAGAGCCAAGAGAGTGGAAAAGGCCCTACTTCAAAACTGTTACACAGATTCAATATAACTCCACTCAAAGTTCCAATAGCCTACCTCACAGAATTAGAGAAAACAATCCTAAAATTTATTTGGGACCAGAAGCGATCCAGAATAGCAAAGGCAATCCTGGGCAACAAAGACATGACAGGTGGTGTCATGATCACTGACTTGAAATTATATTATAGAACTACTGTGATTAAAAAAAAAAAAAAAACAGTGTGGTACTGGCAAAAAAGCAGATCTGAAGATCAGTAGAATTGATTAGAAGATGTAGAAACAACTGCAGACACACTTAGCCACCTTATCTTTGACAAAGGTGCCAAACACATTCACTGGAAGAAAGATAGCCTCTTTAATAAATGGTGCTGGAAAAACTGGCTCTACATGTGCTGAATATTAAAACTGGACCCATATCTTGCACCACATAGTAAGCTAAAATCAGAATGGATCAAAGATCTTTTTTTTTTCTTTTTGTCTTTTTCTTTTTTATCGGTACCGGGGATTGAACTCACGACTGCCTGCTTGCAAGGCAGGCGCTTATGCCACTGAGCTAAATCTCCAGCCCCGGGTCAAAGATCTTAATATTAAAACAGAAACATTAAATCTACTGGAAGATAGAGTAGGTAAAACTCTTTGAAGACATTGGTGCAGGCAAAGACTTTATGAATAAAGCCCAGATTGCACAGGAACTATCACAAAAAAATCAACAAATGGGATCTCACACTACTGAAAAGCTTTTGCACAGCAAGAGAAACCACTAAAAGAGTAAAGAGACAACCCACACTGTGGGTTGAGAGAAAATGTTTGCCAGCTGTTCCTCAGACAAAGAATTACTATCAAGAACATATAAAGAACTCAAAAAAAACTGGTCTTCCCAGATAAGACCCAATCCAAAAATGGGCATCTGAGATGAACAAACACTTCTCAGACAAAGAAATACAAACAGCAAGTAAATATGTGAAAAAATGTTCAGCATCACTGCTCATTTGAGAGATACAAATAAAACAACACTAAGACTGCACTTTACCCCAGAAAGAATGGTAAGAAATCAAGCAATAACAAACGCTGGAGAGGCTGTGGGGAAAAGGGAGCCCTTCTCCACTGCTGGTGAGAATGCAGATTGGTGCAATCACTGTAGAAATCAGTGCGGTGATTCCTCAGAAAACTGGGACTACAAGTCCCATTCAATCCAGCTATTCCCCTTCTGGGTATCTTCCCAAAAGAATATATGTGCTCCCATGTTTATAGCAACACAGTTTTTAATAACCAGATCTTGGAAACAACCTAAATGCCCATCCACTGAGGGTTAGATAAAAAAGATGTGGTATTTTTATACAGTGGAGTACTACTCAGCCATAAGGATGAGAAATTGGACACTATTATAGGTAAATGGACGCACCTTGAGAACATACTCATTAGTGAAATAAATAAGACACACATGTAAGCATTGTAATTTTTCATTAGTGTGACAAGCTGAAAGAAAAAATATATGTGTATATATATATGTGTATAAAAATAGTTAATATAGTTATACTACTGGTTTCTCTTAAGTTCACTGAAGAGAAAAATTTATACTGGTATTGTTCAGACAAATGGAGGCAGATGTCTTGTGCTCTGGATAAACAACTTGGGGATGACAATGAGCAAGGTATATACCACTGTTACCCCGATTGATGTTCTTTAAAATTTTGTTGTTTTCTTCTTTTCCTTGTTTTTACCTATGAGTAAAATGGATTTGGAAAAAAAAATGGGGGCACTGCTGGATGTGGTATTGCTTGCCTGTAACTCCAGCACTTGGGAGGCTGAGAAGGAGGATCATTGAAAGTTTGCAAGCAGCCTCGGCTACAAAATGAGCTCAAGGCCAGCCTGAACTGCATAGAAGGACCCTGTCTCAAAAAGACCAAAAAAGAAACACAAAGCTGAGGATGATGCAGATCAGTGCCCTGACCTTAGGTTCAATCTCCAGTTCTGCAAAACAAAACCAAACCTTGATAGTGTCTGTGGCCTTTATTGTTCTGATCAACCTTTCAGCATGTGGATTCTCATGTTCCCTTCATCTGTGGCAATTTAACAACTTCCAGTTGACCCATAAACAATCAAAGCAAACCTGTACAGACTCTGGGGCCTGTCCCGGCTTATCATCCCACCAGCTCACCATTTTCTACGTTGTCTCCTAGTTCAGGGCTCCCAGCGCTGTGAGCTGAACTGTCGTCCTCGTGGCTTCCGCTTCTACGTCCGCCACACTGAAAAGGTCCAGGATGGAACTCTGTGTCAGCCTGGAGCTCTAGACATCTGCGTAGCTGGACGCTGCCTGGTGAGAGGGCAGATGTGTGTGTGCGCGCATACACACACACACACACACACACACACAGAGTGGTGAGTTTTACTTATCACAACAACCACCACCAGATATATCGCCAAGGGAAAGCCTTGTCAGTCGAGCCCAGCTGGGCAGAGCAATGAGTGACCTGTAGGAAGGGTCCAGCAGGCACATGCATGCTTCCCTGGGCTCAAGGGATGGTGGGGCCTATGGAGAAGCACACTGCACTTGTAGCACAAGGAGCAAGGCCACAAATGCAAGGTCCTGAGTGGGCAAGGGCTGTGGATCTCTGGCATTCGTGTGGCCCCGGTCTCATCTCACTCTCCCCAGAGCCCTGGCTGTGACGGGATCCTTGGCTCTGGCAGGCGTCCAGATGACTGTGGAGTTTGTGGGGGTGACAATTCTACATGTCGCTTCATTTCGGGAAACCTCACTGACCAGGGCGGCCCTCTGGGCTACCAGAAGATCCTGCAGATTCCGCCTGGAGCCTCCCGTCTCCAGATTGCCCAGCTTCGGCCCAGTTCCAACTATCTTGGTAAGAAACTGGACTCCTGGGGCTGAGGATTTAGCTCAGCGTCATAAGCACATGCCTTGCAAGTGTGTGGTCGTGAGTTCGATCCCCGGTACCGATTTAAAAAAAAAGAAAAGAAAAGAAACCAGGACTCCTGGGGCCTGGTCCCATTCCGTTTCCCTCTTGGTTCTGGTTCTTGGTTCTAGCCTCTTGGTTCTGTTCTCTTCACCACTACTTAGCATGGCAGATAGGCCTCACAGGGACACCTTGGGATGTCTTAGGTTCTGTGGGGAACGGTGAGGAGGAAGACAGTGCAACCAACCTCAGGTTTTGGGATCTCTTCCAGCACTTCGAGGCCCTGGAGGCCATTCCATCATCAATGGCAAATGGGCTGTGGATCCCCCCGGGTCCTACACAGGAAGTGGGACTGTCTTCCTGTATAACCGTCCTCCTCGGGAGGAGGGCAGAGGAGAGAGTCTGTCAGCTGCGGGACCCACAACGCAGCCTGTGGATGTCTATGTGAGCCTGGGGCATGCGGAGAGGCTTTTCCTCCTACACGCAAAGCTGTGGGGTTCAGGTGGAAGAGAAGGTTGCTGGCGTGCTCCCTAGTCCCCCCAAACATCTATTACCGTTTTTCTCCCCAGATGATCTTTCAGGAGGACAACCCAGGTGTTTCTTATCAGTATATCATCTCGTCACCTCCTCCAGATCTCCAGATCCCCACTCCAGAGGTCTCTGTGCCCCAGCTTCAGCCTGGTAAGACTGATCCAGGAAGAGGCTGGGGGGACTTGGAGGCCGCAGGGAGGCATCTGATCTGTCTACTCAATTCCTGAGCAGAGATGCTGAGGAGGGAGTCCCCACGCCCTTCAGTGCCCCGCTCAGCCCGGACCCCAGGTACCCTCCAGCGTCAGGTACGGATTCCTCAGATGCCTACCCCGACCCACCCCAGGATGCCCCTGGGGTCTCCAGCTGGATACTGGAAGCGAGTAGGATACTCTGAGTGTTCAGCTTCCTGTGGAAAAGGTGATACTTCATTCCTGTATTCCTGGGACTGTAGTCTAAATCCCTGGTTTGGCACTGTGACTAGATTCTGCACCCTGGTTTATGGGCACCCTGTATCTGGGGCTCCGTGGAAATGGGCTCTGGGCCACCCCATCTCCCTGACTGCTTTCTTGTCCTCTTCAGGTGTCTGGAGACCCATTTTCCTCTGCATTTCTCGTGAATCAGGAGAGGAACTGAATGAACACAACTGTGCCATGCATACCAGGCCCTCAGCCTCCCCTGAGCCCTGCCACAGCCCACCATGCCCTCCATAGTGAGTATGGCCCACAAGGCAGCTAGGATACTAGTGACCCAACAGTCACCCCTGGACGTGCTTCCTGCCCACACGATCTTCCATAGGCTCAACTTGGCACCTCCTGGCTGCAGGGAGACAATACTAGAAAAGGACTGACATCCCATAGAAAGTAGAAAAACCCAGGCACCCCCATAGGAAACTCCAACTCCAGTGCTAAATGTACCCACTTTCCTATGACAGGCCCACCCCAATGCATCTCCCTCTCCCCCATCATGGCAGCCCTACGCATCTCATTGCCTCCTTACTCCTTGCCCATGCCTGCAGCTGGGAGACTGGCGAGTGGACATCCTGCAGTCGCTCCTGTGGCCCTGGCACCCAGCACCGCCAGCTGCACTGCCGGCAGGAGTTTGCGGGGGGTGGCTCCTCAGTGCCTCCGGAGCGCTGTGGACACCTCACTCGGCCCAGCACTACCCAGCACTGTCAGCTGCGCCTCTGTGGTCACTGGGAGGTGCGCTCCCCCTGGAGTCAGGTGAGCAGACTTGGGCAAGGGAGCTCCCCAAGAGTGGGCACCAGCAGTGACAGTGCTGTTTCTTCAGGAGCACAAATGTTCTGCAAACAGGGTCTTGTGTGGCGCTCCAGGGAACGATGTCAGAGAAGAGACTAAACCAGAGACTAGGGGCTTGGGGTTCTGGCCCAGCTTCTGTGACCACTGAGCTAGGGCTCAGAGACAGTTCCTGGGGAAAAGCTGTAGAACTGAGCACTGCCTGAAACCCAGCTCTCTGGGTTCCTCTCACTCCCTCAGTGCTCCGTGCGGTGTGGGCGAGGCCAGAGGAGCCGGCAGGTTCGCTGTGTGGGAAACAACGGTGCCGAAGTGAGCGAGCAGGACTGTGCCTCAGGCGCTCCCCGGCCTCCCAGCAGAGAGGCCTGTGACATGGGGCCCTGTACTATGGCCTGGTTCCACAGTGACTGGAGCTCCAAGGTGGGCCCCCTACCTAAGCCCAGCCTCACACCCCTGCACACCCACACTGCCCTGCCACAGTCTATCCAGCACAGCTCTGTAAAGACTGAGCGAGGATCTGCTGTGTGTTTGTTACTGGGAGCTCAGACACATGAGAAGAACTTACACCCAGCCAGATGTCTCCTTCCCCGGCTGGCACCCTGGTGCATCCCCAGCTCCCGGGAACAGGACCCAGTACACTTCCATCCTGAGCCCCGCTCCCTACTCCAGTCTCCAGCAGCCTCCCCTCATGCAGATGCTGTGCTTCTCAACAGTGCTCGGCCCAGTGTGGGACAGGAATCCAGCGGCGCTCAGTGGTCTGCCTCGGGAGTGGGGAGCCCCGTGGGTTGGGCGGGCAGGATGCAGGAGCAGGGACTGGTGAAAACTGTCCACCGGGAAGCCGCCCTCCTGACATGCGCGCCTGCAGCTCGGGGCCCTGTGAGACGACGTGGTGCTGGTACACGGGGCCCTGGGCTGAGGTGCGCTGAGGGCCTGGACGAGGGCTGGGACCCTGGCAGGGGTACCAGGGGATTGCATGGCAGGATTGGGAGTGATCTCTGTTCTTTCCCCTACAGTGTTCCTCAGAGTGCGGCTCTGGCACACAGTATAGAGATGTCATCTGTGTATCCAAACTGGGGACTGAGTTCAATGTGACTTCTCCCAGCAACTGTTCCCACCTGCCCCGGCCCCCTACCCTGCAGCCCTGTCAGGGGCAGGCCTGCCGGGACAGATGGTTTTCTACACCCTGGGGTCCGGTGAGTGCCTGGCTTTCCTGCCCTGCTCTCAGTCTAAGCCTCCAGTGAAGTGGGGGCTCCTCTCACTGAACCCCCAAGTTTCTCCAAACCCCAGGACAAGCCCAGTTGAAGTTTCACTTTGTCCCATTTTCTTTGGATTTGGAGGACCAGCGGGCCCTGTCTATCCAGGATTCCATAGCGTCCCTGGAAATAACGTCCCATCAGTACTCTTCAGAGAGGGAGGTTGTGGCCATGGGTCCCAGTCCTGAATACAGTAAAGGTCTGATCTGATAGTGGCGTTCCCTTCCCCAGTGTTCTCGCTCCTGCCAGGGCGGCACGCAGACAAGGGAGGTCCAGTGCCTGAGCGCCAACCACACCCTCGGCACCCAGTGCCCTCCTCACCTGCGACCCTCCAGGAAACGGCAGTGTAATAGCCAGCCCTGCAGCCAGCGCCCTGGTAAAGAGCCCCTTCTCTCCAGCCCCCATGGAATGGAGTAGGAGTTAGCAGAAATGTGGGCGGAGGTAAGAAAATGCTTGTTAGTGATGGTCCTCCCTGGTCTCTGTCCCCAGATGATGGCTGCAGGGACAGCTCTCCACATTGCCCCCTGGTGGTACAGGCCCGGCTCTGCGTCTACCCCTACTACACAGCCACCTGCTGCCGCGCTTGCGCACAAGTCCTGGAGCGCTCCAGGTTGGAGCCAGCCTGAAAATGTGTCCAGGAGACCTCTCCTCCCGGCTCTGTCATGCCAGCATTGGTCCTCATCGATCAACCCACACTGTAGCCCTGGCTCTCCAGCCTGTCCCAGTTTTTCCTGGGGTACCCTCCAGGGCGACTATAGGTGACGAGGCTACGGACAGTGGTTGTCAAGATGTGTGACTGGGTCTATGCTTGGGTGAAGTGTGTGCACCTGTGCCTCTAAATTTGTGTGAGGCCTGGGTGGGTGTGTGCCTGCAGACTGGGATATCACTTCCCAAAGAGAAGTCACAGGGATGGAAAGAAGTGGGAGCAGACAGTACTTGTTTCCCCAAGACTTTTTTTTCGAACCGGAGATCGAACTCATGACTGCGTGCTTCCAAGGCAGGCACTTATGCCGCTGAGCTAAATCCCCAGCCCGCCTTAACCCCACCCCCACTCCCCACCCCCCACCCCCGCGCCAGACTTTTGTAGGCCAGGAGGAAAGCAAATTTGCAGCTCCTTAATAATCTGAGCTACTTGGAACGTGATCTCAGCAATTCCAATTTTGCATCCTAAACCTGATTTCTCATATTCAGCCCTCACATTTTCTAAACCACTCTTTTGGGCTGGGAGTGTAACTCAATGGTAGGCTGCTGGTCAGGCGTGCACCAAGCCCTGGGTTTGATCCCCAGCACCGGCCAAAAAAAAAAAAAAAAAAAAAAAAAAAAAAAAAAAGTTACCCTTTGTCTCTGACCCCCTCATCCCTTGCCCATCTCTATCCCTGCCTCCCTAATTAGCTAGGGAGAGGATCAGCAGTTGCCAGTCATAACTTCAGGCCAGAACAGGTACCATCTGAACCAAGCGTGGAAAAGAAATGTTAGCTGCTTAACTAAATGGCTCTCACCCCAGAACTAATTTATTTTTCATTAAAGTTGATTATGACAAATGAGAAGCATGCACTTCGTTGTCCATCCGAGTTTCGGCCATCGGACAATTGTGAAGCCAGAAAGCCCAGGAGGAGCCAACCTCAGCACCCAGAGCCCGGAGCTCCCGCTCCTCGGGCGGGGCAGGGTCCTCCCGGCCAGAGCGACCCTGCAGGTCGGCCACCGGCCACTAGGAGTCACCACTTCTCCCCGTTCAGTATGGCTTTGGGAGCTTGTTTTCCAGAAAAGGCGTGTGGCCTGTGCGTGTTTCTTGGCCTATCTTTCCATGGTATCTAGGAATCTAGCAGCACTGCTTTTAATCCGAGACTGAGCTAATGGCAGCGGCCTTTTGGGGGTAGTTTCCCCTGTCCCCTTGTCTGCCATCTTACCCGCTGTTACCGTTTTCCTGTTAAGCTCTGCCTCTCCGCGCGAGCGGGGCAGAAGGAAAGCGCGCTGCCCGCTGTTCCCTCGCTCGGCCTGGGACTTGAGGGGGAGGACCTGGCCCGGATCGGGGAACCCGAGGCCGAGGGCGGGCAGGCGGTACTCGGTGTCCTGCCAAGGCCGCATTCTTCCGAGCTGTCGCACCTTGGCTGCCTCCTCCCCCTCCCCAGCTGTTTCTCCTCCTGAGCCTGCTCAGAGGTGCTGTGCGCGAGGACAGCGTTTTGCGTGGCGCTGTCCTCCCTGTGACCTGGCAGTCCCGAGGTCTGGGTCCCGGGAGCCGAGGCTCCAGTTAGGGGGCCACGCGCCGGAAGCAGGCGCCCCATCTCCACCTCGGGGTCCGCAGGGCGCTTCCCCGTGGCTGGGCCACCTGGGCCCCGGCAGGAGGACACCGGCAGTCCTGTCCGCTGGGACCGCTCTTCTCAGCCTTCCTGCACCTCACACCGCTCGGGACTCAGCCCGGTCTGGGCCGGATCAGCTGCGCAGACAGAACTGAGCCATCTGGGAGCGCAGCGAGGGAGGAAAGGAGCCGCGGAGAAGGAAACTGAAACTGGCCGCAGCCCAGGGCAAGCGGGGAGAAGAATGCGCAGGGCAGGCCACCTCCAAATCGCCATCTTAGTCGTCCTGCCTCTGGGGAGCCTGTGGGCTCCGTCAGAGATGCGGGGGGGCCCGAGAGAGAGAGAGAGAGAGAAAGAGAGAGAGAGAGAGAGAGAGAGAGAGAGAGAGAGAGAGAGAGAACGAGACAGAGAGACAGAGACAGAGAGTCACAGGGGCTGGCAGCGGAGGCGACCGCGGTGGGGGAGCGGCTGTGGGGCGGGGCAAGACCCGGGCCAGCGGTTCCTGGAAGTCAGCTGACCCCGCGGCCCTGACCCGCCCTCTTCGGGCTGTTGCTGGGCAGGTTTGGAGCTCGGCCTGAGCCTTAGAGCCAATCACAGGTGGAGAATGTGCAGCCGCAGACCAGCGGGGCCAGGCCTCAGCGCCCCCTTTCTCTTTCTGAGAGCCCCAAGCTCCGGGTCAGCCTCCAGCCTCTGCTTTCTAGGTGGGCCCGCATCTAAAACTTTGCCTTCTTTCTTCCTCTCACTTACGAGCTAGGGTTCTGTGCAGCCCCTAAGGGGACCTTCCCTGGTCCCTGAGGTCAGTATAGGGTCAGTGTGAGGTTCTCAAGAAGGGGAACCTGACCCCAAGCAACCCCTCTTCCTGGCCCCTCCAGGGATGCAGAGTGGCATCTATTGACCTGTGAAACATAGGGCTGAGAGAGGAAGCTGCAACCAAAGGGCAGAGAGCTGTGTTGGTGGATCCCCTAGTTTTGGTGTATTGGGGTGGAAATAGGGAAGGGTTCAGAGGAACTGGATTCCCCAAGTTGAGATGGGGTTGGGGTTGTGATATGAACAAACTTCTGTTTTTCTCTTCAGTGCTGGAGATTGAACCAAGGGCCTTCATTTGCCCTGATTGAAATTCCCAGCCCTTTAAAAATGTTTAATTTAGAGACAGGTTCTCAGTAAATCACTAAGTTGTCAGTCAGCTTGGAATTTATAACCCTTCTGCCTCAACTTCCCTGAATGCTGGGATTACAAAGTCACACCACCATGCCCAGCTAAAAGGAAAAAATTGGACCTGAGCAAGAGTGCTCATTCATGGGGCTGGGGATTTAGCTCAGCGGCATAAGCACCTGCCTTGCAAGCAGGCAGTCATGAGTTCAATCCCTGGTACCGATAAAAAAACGAAAAAGACCAAAAAAAAAAAAAAGAGTGCTCATTCAGATGGCAGGCACATTGCTGAGAACTCCTCGGTGTTCACTGTGAGGCTGGACTGTGGTACACAGGCATACTTAGGGTACTCTGTGGGGCCTCGGGTTCAGTTGGGCTGGGGGTGGGCTGGCATGTGGTTCATGGTTCACTGGTAGAGTGTGCTTAGGGTACAGAGGCCCTGGGTTGCAGCCCATAGCTACCAAAAAAAAAAGTACTGTACTGCTGTGTCAGGGCCTCTTCTTCCCCTCAGCTTCTTGGGGTAGACCTACCTGACTTAACTGCAGCTGCTAAATCTGAGGTTTAGTGCTAGGAGGCAGCTGGGTGGGGCTGAGAGGGCAGAGAGGGTTTATTTGTCACAGGCAGGTATGAGGTGAGAGAGACTCCTATTTGGACAGGAAGTAGTCTTAGGAAAGTACCTAAAAGTCTAAATCTGTCAACAAGACAGACGGCTGGCCTCATGGCAGGCAGAGTCTCAGCATCTGGGAGGCTGCTGGTGGTGGTAGAGGCAGGGTCTTGAGTTCAAGGCCTGAACCACACAGCATCCCAGTGGCCCATGTCCCCAACTACTCTGGAAGGCTGCAGGAGGATCACAACTTTTGAGTCTAACCTAAGCAATTTAGCAAGAGCATCTCAAAATTAGGAAGGGTTAGGGATACAGCTCAGTGTAAAAGCCATGGGTTCAGGCCTCAGTACCAGGGAAAACAAAAAACCCAAGAGCAAGAAACTGGTTTAACTCCAGTGTAGCTAGCACACTGTTTTTAGTACTGGGGATTAAACTTAGATCCTTTGTTTGCACTGTGCAACATTCCCAGCCCCCACCCCCTTTTTTTAGACAGGGTCTCAGTAGGTTTCCCAAGCTAGACTCAAACTCAAGATCCTCCTGCCTCAGTCTCCCGAAGTGCTGGGATAACAGATATGTGCCACACATGGCTGGTTTGGGGCTCCTTGACCTGGCAGGAGTATCTTGAAAGGAGGGTTTTTCAAGGCCGAGGTCTGAAGGTACATAGCAGTGGAGAGAAAAATGTCCTAGGCCACAAGACGTGGCTATCTGCTCCCAGGAAACACTGGCCACACCATTGGAAGGGGGGGACACACAGGGACAGCAGAAAGGAGAGTTCTCTATGAGCAGAGGGATGGCTGCAGCAGCCTGGGGGAGGCAGAGGAGGCACACTGCAGGCTGGTGCTGCATGCTGGACTCTTCCAAGCTTTGTATGTGAATCTCCTAGAGATTGCACCATACAGCTCTGAAGAAGAGGAAAAGCAACTGGGGCAAAGAGGACCCCAGAAGTGAGCCAGGTAGCTAGACTTTAGCAGCTCTCGAAACTAAGGCAAGACTGCAAGCTCCTAGCCAGCCAAACTGAGGGCTTGACCCCAGTCCCAGACGGAAAAGGAGGGAGCAGACCATACCACTGGGATCCCTTAGCTAAAAAAGTCCTAGGGGTGAGGACCTACCCCTGGCGTCAGGCAGAGTCCATGTGGCCAGGACCCAGGGTCCCTCTTTCTGTCCCATCTCTGTCTCCCCCTGCCTCCCCAACCCTACCGCTGTCAGCCACTGGCTGCTACCTCTTTTATCACAAAGTGAAGCTGCTTTTTAGCTGTGGTTGGAGTTGAGCAAGCTTTTCTCTGCAAACTAGTGGGTCAGTACCTGGGCTTTGCAGGCCTGTCACCTCTGTTGCAACTCCTTCCTTCTCACTGCAGCAAGGAAGCAGCTGCCAGTGGTTGCTAAGTAAACACCAGCCATGGTTGGTTGTGTTCCTGTCAAACTTTGTCCATGACATTGAAATTTAAATGTCAGTGGACCACAAAATAGTTATGTGTATATATGATTTATTTTTATTTTTTATGATACTGAAGGCTTTGCACTGAGTCACATCCCCACCCCTTTTTAAATTTTTTATTTGGAACAGGGTCTCACTCAGTTGCCCAGGCTGGACACAAACTTGGGAGCCTCCTGGTTTAGCCTCATAGACCGCTGAGATTATAGGCATGGGCCACCATTGGGGCTTCTTTGGATTTTTATCAACTTTTTTTTTTTTCTTTTTGGTCTTTTTGAGACAGGGTCTCACTGTACAGTTTAGGCTGCCTTTAAGCTCACTTTGTAGCTCAGGCTGGTCTTGAACTCGAAATGATCCTCTTGCCTCAGCCTCCCAAGTGCTGGAATTACAGGCATGGACCACCATGCCTAGCTTATCAATCATGTTAAAATATAAAACCATTCTTGACGGGGGCTGGGGATTTAGCTCAGTGCCATAAGCGCCTGCCTTGCAAGCAGGCAGTCCTGAGTTCAATCCTTGGTACTGGTAAAAAAAAAAAATTCTTGGCTTGCTAGCTATAACAAAGCAGGTGGAGGGCAGACCAGTTCCTGACTTGAGGAGTAAGTGCTGTTTGTGTCCCCTCCAGGGCTCCAAGTGCAGCTGTAAAATCTTAAAATTAAACACCTTCTCTATTCATGTCATGCTGTGTTATTTGGTAGGTTGGAGTTTGTTTGTTGGTTTGGTTTTCATGAATTAGTAATTCTTTCCTGTTGTTTTTTGGTTTTTGGCTCCTGGTTTTTTGAGACTGGGTCTTGCTGTGTAGTTTAGGCTGATCTTGAATTTACTTTGTAGCCTAGGGCAGCCTCAGATTTGCATGGATCCTCCTGCCTTTACCTTTTGAGTGCTGGGATTACAGGCATGTGCCACCATACCTGTCAAGAATTAGTAATTCTTGATTCTAATTCTACATACTCCTCTGTTTGCATGACTGTGTACCTTATATAAGAACTATGTGTACTATAATGATTTACTGAACACAAACACTGAATAAAATTGAAAAGTTTTTAATTTCATGAACCTTTGATCTGA